CTATGGTCTTTCCTTTGACGATGGAAGTCTTACATCGTAATAGAAAGTTTTACAGTCAGAGATGATGACAGCTGGTAAAGCATTCATTTTCCCCCATCAAATTGTGTTAAATTAGGTGCTGTGAAGGAGAGTGGAGCTGTGCTCCTGCTCTCAGTGTTATGTCTTCATTTTGTGGCTGTTAACATGGTGTTTGGTCAGTGATTTCAAGGGGTTGCTGTTCTGAACTTTAAATTGTATAAAACTCAGAGTAGGATGGAGTACACAGGAGAGCTGCTGGTTGATGGGACTGGTTGCACTGGCATGGGTTGGATGTCTGCTTAAACAACAAGGAGTGAACTCAATAACCATCCTATTTCTGACACCGACCTGTCATGGTTTATTCTGCACAGTCTAACACAGCAGATATGTCACTAAACACTTGGAAATCAACTAACCCCCTGTAGGGGTTAGTAGCTTACTAGAAAGTATCAGAAAGAATTTGTTCTCTTGACCTGTTCTACATTTTATCCACGAGGAATTTGGACTTGCCTGGCTGGATTTGGCAGTTCAGATGGACACTGAACTGAGCAAAGTCTGGAGTGCATTCTCTGCACCCCGGGGATGTCACTCATCCTCCTGCTGTGCTGAGGACGTGGCTCTTGCTTATCTCCCTGAGTCCCTGTGCTTCCTGATCTTTTTGCTTACTTCCAATGTACTACTCCCGGTGCTTTAATTTAAGAAACATTTCTTAATGAAGAAAATAGAAGGAAGATTTAGGATCTCTTTGTTTCTTGGTCTCGCTGTGCAGTAACCAGGACTGGCACTTGCTGTGATCAGAACAGCAGCTTTGTTGGCCACTAAAACTTTTCCTTGGGACCGCTGAGTCACCTTGGAGCCAAAATGTAAATTCCAAATAACGTCTGCAAATGCAGGACAGCCACAGCAGTGTGCAGGGAGGGGCAGCTTTCAGAGGACAGCAGCTGTCTGCCGTGCGGGAGATAACCAGGGAGCTGGTTAAAAAACATAGAGCTGCAGTCTTGTGAGACGTTTCCTCCTCTTTGTGTCTGCATTTATTCTGCATCAGAGTCAAAACAAATATTTTCAATATTTTCAATCAAAGTGAAATTCTTCTTTTTGAGCCTCTTGTTGTTTGTTTTCTGTCTAGGTTTTTAAATGTTTAATTTTATTGTCTCGTTTTTTGGTTTTTTTTCAGAATATACAAGTGTTATATGACACGACTTGTCTTTAAAATAGATTATTTTAAAATAATTTGGAGCAGCTGTTGTCTGGTGATTGAGTCATATCATTTTCTTAGATTAGAATCTCTTGTTTATTTTGTAATGAAATGGTTTGACACTTGGAACAAGAAATGAAGATAAATAGTTAGCATACCAGCAAGGAAAGCAGGTGCTTACTTCAGCAGCCTTCTTTTTCTAGGAAATGCCATATTTCTTCTCCACACGTTTCAATGCATTTTTAGATGACTCTATAGAGTCAGAAATTTCTTTATTGAAAAATGTTCTGCATTTGATTCCCTAAAACTTCTCCTTCAAAACTTTATATCAGCTCAGAGGAAGAGCGGCATCTTCTCACTTTGCCATCAGCTGATGATCCTCAGCTGTGCCCTGTCAGCCTCTGACACATCGTGGTGCACAACCTGAGCCAGCACTGAGCTGACAAACTCTCTGGATTTGGGATGGGAATGCAGTGTGTTGTCGTGTTGTTTTCTTCCATCCACAGGGAAGACTCCTTAGAGAAACGTGGGGATGAGAACGCAGTCAGTGCCTGTAGAAGCTTTTCGCATCAGGATGCTTTGCTGATGGATTTATTCATGGGCAGATCTACAGTGATGCCTTCAGAAAAGTAGTGGTGATGCACGTATAGTTTACAAAAACAAACAGACCAACTCCATCTACTTACTTATACATGAGGCCCAATTTGTCACTGATTTGTTACAGCATCTTTTTGTTCTGTAAGGAAACACAGATACATGCTGTAGCACGTTGCAGATGCTTTTGGTGAAGAAATACCAAAGCTTCCACAGTTACAGATTGTTCTGGCCATGAGAAAGGCACGATAAGCCTGGGGGCTGAGCAGTGGGGCTGAGGAGTGGCCAGCAGCAAGCAGCCTGGCTGGCTGCTGTAGAAGGGAAAATGATTCTGTTTTATTCTGAGCTGGAAGAGAATTCGCCTCCTTTTCCAAATAGTGCTCTGTTTTTGGGACCACTTCACATTTCACCTGAGATTTTGCTGCTTAACCATCAGCACTCAGCTGATGGAAATGCATAGAAGCCCTCAACCTCAAAAATGTTTGTGCAGAGGAGTGTAATAGCCTTCATTTCATAAATGGCAGAACAGAGGCTCAGAGAACATGGTTGTGAAGGAGGCCATCAGCAGAGCTGGGAGCTCAGCTGCATTCTGGCCCTCAGTACCTCCCTAACCACATCATTCTTGCTGTGGGCAGCAGAGAAGAGCTTGAGAGTTACTCTTGTATGAGCAATAAAATCATATAATCATGTACTTAGTGATGTTGGAAAAGGCCACTAAGATCGCCAAGTCCAGCCCCAACCCATCCCACCATGCCCACTGTCCCTCAGTCCACATCCCCACAGATCTGGAGCACCTCCTGGGATGGTGACCCCACCACCTCCATGGGCAGCTGTGCCACTGCATCACCACTGTTTTGGTTAAGTTTTGTACTACTGCTTTTTGTTTCCTTTCTCCCTGTTTCCACATTAAAATTAAGTGTCACGTTTTGGGGACAGGGATTGTTGTTTCTCACCTGGGTTAGTAAGATCCACAGTAATGTGAATGGTGTCTGCTGCAGTAACCGTCTTGCACTTTGGTTATGTCAGGTGTGTGTCTTTACCGCAGTTTACATATCCTTAAAAAAACTCATTTGGGGAAATGACTGATGTAAGTGAACAGTCTTTCTGAAAATCAGCCCAAGCTGTAACCTCAAATAATCTTGGATGTGTTCTCTGAAGTGCTGCTTTCTCCTTCCCACTTTTTATGAGTTGAACCCATGCTGGTTTAAGATTCCTTGTGCTCATTTAGTGAGCAGCAAGCCTCCTCCTCTTTTTTTTTTTTTTTTTAATAGCAGTGATTTTCCTTATTATTGTTCTTTTTCTCTCTCAAAAATATTTTTACCCATTTGCCTTTAGGGGATATGCATGTATATTGATGAAGGAAAAATATCTCATTTTGTAGTAACTTTAGAACTAGTAAAGGTAAGTGAATGCATTTATTTAAATGCAGATCAAGGATAGTTTTATCTTCTACTTTCATTTATGGCCTTCTGTGCAGTGTGTTGGAAACAAACAGCTATGGTTTTGCACAGGATGTCCCGTGAACGTGGTGCCTGGTGCCCTTGTGATGTTCCTCACCGTTTCCCAAATTCCTCATTATTTCCTTCTCCTGCAGAAGCACACACAATTCTCACTTCTCTAACACTCTTTTTACAAATAGAGCATATAAACTGCATCAGTTCATTCCTAACAAACACAGTGCATGCATTTTTCATACTGGAGTTTGCTGGGGCCTTGGCTGGGTTGCATCTCTGTGTTTAAGGTCTTTGACCCCATTCAGATTCTGCTGGTGGAGGTGCACAGGTGCTGTTCCTTCCAAGTGCCACAGCAGTGCCTTGTGTGCACCTCACCATGCCTGAGGACAAGGAGCAGGACTAAACATTTCTCCTCCAGCACTTAATTGCCTTGTTTTAATGATCACTGCGCCAAGTGCTGTGTCTTCCTCAGGTTTCTAGCAAGCAATAAAAATTCAAAAGCTGGTTGTAATTCCTGGAAAAGTTAGCAGGTTTGCCATGGGACCACCTACAAGCTGCTTATTTATAATTCCTTTTTATTCTGTTACTATTAAAGCCCCATCTTTTAAATATTGTTTATTTATTTTTCCTTTAAACAGAACATTTTCCTCCTGTCACAATACAAGCAACTTAAAAATTTTCAAAGGCTCTTTCAGCAAACCTGGGAATTAGATTTTCATGGAGTCCTTCATAAAATATTGAAGACTTCATATATTAACATACATTGATTTATTCATAGTGTTTCATTACAAATAAGCGAGGATCCCATAATATAAGGAAAGGTTAGGAGAGCAGCGGAGCGCATTATATTATATTGACAGCTCAGTTGAAATTGAGCTGCCTCTGGATTGAATTTGGAAGGTGAGGAAGGAATTGGCTGGTAAATAAGTCATGAGCTCTCCTCGAAAGTGTCTGCGTATCACAGGGGCTGTCGTGGGTAAACAGAATGGAGCTCGAGCAGAATTTCAAAGGATGTTCAGCCTGGGTTCCCCTGAAGATGTGTTAGCAGTGCAGAGCACGCAGGGCTGTGGCCTGGCTGGGTTGCTCTCAGGAATGGAGCCATGTGTAAGTCTGCAGCCCAGGGCTAAAACTGGGAAATTTTATCAGCAACTGTCTCGTGAGCTCAAGGAAAACGAGTGGGACTATTGTCTAAAGGCTTGGTGATATTTATTTCTCGTGAACCTGTCATTTAATTTCAGTCTTTCATTTTGGCGCGATGTCTTCAGCATCGGAGAAGAATTCAGACAATTTTGTTGTCAGTAAAAGGTTCCTGTTTCTTCTTAAAAGCCTCCTGAAAACAACAACTGCTTGATGGAAAATGTATCCCTGTGTGCACCAAAAGTTCCTCTGTGCTGTGGGAAATTCTCACAAAAATTCTGCAAGTTGTGCTGTGCTCAGCTTCGGCTGCAGAAGTTTGGGGTGGGGAACGAAAAGCAATTCTTGGTGGCTTTTGTACGTCAGCACACGCTGAGATTTTAGTGGAGAGAAGAAATTAGCTTCTTCCAAAGTAACACCTGGAAAAATGGTGATGTTCACTTGCCAGCATCCAAACACAGGGCACTTCACTAGGAGATGCTACCCTTATATCTGCCCTTTTATTTTGGATGTTGAGTTCCAAGAGGGGAGTGAAATAGGGGCGCAGACAGAGGCCGGGTGCAGAAGACTCCTATCACCTTACTGTCCTTATTCTTCATTTGCAGATTACTTACAAGGCCGTTGGGTCTCTGGATCCCAGTGCTGACCTGTCCAGCCAAAGAGGGAAGGTCTTCAAACTAAGGAATGAAACACATCACCTCTTTGTAGGATTATACCCAGGGACAACGTATTCATTCACCATCAAAGCCAGCACAGTGAAGGGCTTTGGGCCACCCATCACAACACGGATTGCAACTAAGATTTCAGGTATTGCTTTGGGAAGACAAAAAAGGAACTTTACAGGGCTTTGTTCTTTAGATCTACAGCTGATGTGTGAAACCATAAAAAGCTGTTCAGCTTGGTGTCTCCTCCACAAGTTTCATAGGGACCACAATCTATTATCTATGTTTGTTCAGATTACAAATGCAGGGGTTAATTTGTGGATGCCTTAGGAGGATTTCAGATGGGAACCTTTGTTAGTTCAATAGATGAACTCTTACTACAGCAGATTATTCAAATTATATGCTTGATCACAGAAGCTCCTTCAAAAATGCTGCTTTATCTCAAGAGCTCACCAAAAACGGATGCAGTGAAGTAATTGAATTAATAGCTGAAAGAGAGGAAAATGAGGAAGAGAAACTACATTTATGGCTTCTTTCCTGAGTAAGGCCACAAAGAGGGCTTCAGCTAGGCGGAGAAGGATGTCAAAGGCACTGAAATCAGGAGGCACTGCAGAGAAAACTCCTGGGTACAGTAGAAGCAAGGAAACTTGGTCTGGCTACCAACAGCTCAAATGGGTAAGGTAGTGGTTGAGATGACATTGAACAAACATATGCAGAATTAGATATTAAAATTTCACTAAGCCAGGTTCTCTAAGGGACGTTTTTCTGGAGTATCTATCACAGTGACATCAAATCAAATATTTGGGACACTTGTAATGATGAAATATGCAGCTTTGCATATTTTCCCTTATCTTTCAGGACTGATTAGTAAGTTGTTAGCAGTAAATGACAGTTTAACATTTTAAAGAAATAAAGTCTCCCCATTCTCTGCACTGACAGTCAGCAAGGCTAGAGACTTTTAGATGTAGTGCAAAAGTTCATGTCACATCCAACTGGAGTACAGCCACGGGCTGTAAGGCTGCCTGCAGAGGAAGGCATGGTGTGTGCTCTGCCCACCTCCGGCCAGAGAAACAAAACAGCACAGGAATAGGGGTGCTTTTCTCTTCTTATTCAGTTTCTTTTCATTTTATTTTTAAGGGAGTGCTCAAATCTTGTTAGAAGCCTGCGTGGTTATTAAATGTATGGGCACTGAGCTCAGTTTATCATCTCTGTTTCTCTGTCCTCTAAACTTCTTGTTTGTAGTAGACAGACACAGGCCCCACTCAGGCATCTCTGGTGTTCGATTGTACTGTTGTATGGTCAGTCCTCTGCACGGGATTTTGAAGTTACTGTTATATTTACTTAAAGATGCAGTCCTAAAGGAAGCAGAGAGAAAAATGAGACTTGCATTGACTTATTTTTACTTATAAAGCTTATAAGGCTGTCTGGAAACTGCTGGCTTTAAAATGAAAAGCCATCCTATGCAGTAGGAAAGTGTGAATGTGTATGTTTATCTGGGTGGATGTTTGTTAATTTATCTATCACACTCATGTACTATTTATCACACACTTTATAATACTAGTTGCCTGAATTCCCAAGGACTTCTCTTTGGCCAGGACTCAGCAAAATAGGCACCACATCAGTGAGCAGTGCTTGCTGCTTTACAGAGGTCACTGCCAAGAGTCATTTTAATGAGGCACTGTCCAACTCTTCCATGTTGAGGACAGAAAAATGCCATATCCTGTTACAGCATCTTGTGACAAATACAGTGCAGTTGCTGAATTGTACTCGATACCATTAGCTACTCCTGCCAAAAACGATGTTGCTTCCATTTGTTTCTCAACTAAATGGCATCTGAAAGTCAAATGGTGCATTCTGTGAAGGAACCAGCCCAGCTGGCTGACACAGCAGAGGCCATTCAGTCGCACCAGTGCAGCATTTCAACTAGGCCAATGGAAGCTGCAGCAAAACAGGGCCTGCAGAGGTACAACCCAGCCTGCTCATGGTGCCCAGGGAGCCCTGCAACACTGCAGTGTCCCCTCTGCCAAGTACAGGAGCAGCACAGTTCTGACTGTGGCATTTCCAGTGAGTACAGTGCTGTCAGCTACTGGGTACTGCTGGTGCCCTGCATCTTTAAGTGACTCATACTGCTTTCCTCAGTGCACAGCACCTTCTGCAGAGGAATCCCTGCTAAGGAACTGCCATTCGTTCTGAACTCGCTGCCAGCTTATGGATAGGGAAGTCAGTTGCTGAGCTGATAATAGGAAACACCATGCTTAACAGTTTTCAGGCATTTAGATAAAAATCCTGATTGTAAACAGGATTACTGTGGAAATCGCTATGAGAGGATTAAATGTGGGACCCCCACAATGCAGCTTGCCCTTGAGAGTTGTAGATGAACTGAGTGGGACTATGTTCTTCATGTAAATTCTTCTATTTGCTTTATAGTTAGGGAAATTTCAACAAAGCTTACCTCTTTGGAATAAATACAATGCTGCTCAGATTCTTCTGGGTTTTTTTTGTCCCTAAGGGATGTCTGCTACAGGGGAAAGAAGACTTAACATAATGAGTAGGCTGTGTTTCCTAGGGAAATCTCTCCCACCTTGATGAAATGACCCTAGCAGAAGGAAATAAGGCAGAAGTAGGAAGAGGACTGTGGCTACGTGTGAGTGGTCAGCGGTTTCCCATATCACACCACTGCTGGAGTGATGGATGCTGTGGTTGGTCACTGCCCTCAACACACACTGGTGGACACACCACTAAAGCACTGGGCTTAAATACCCATTTGAGTGCTCAAATAATTCCATGCTCTTTTCTTTTGATGCCTTCCCCCTTCATAATGTACCTTCCAGCTAATCCAGGAGACAGAGCTCACACATGCATTAAAAATTCTCTAAGATGTGAGAACTCTGATCCATTGGCACAAATAGTGAACAAGAGATGGGTTCCTGGGTGCAGCTTTCAGCCCTGCCACTGATTCACAGGTCTCAGGATGGCATCTTTCAATGTCCATGCAGTTCTTTGTCTACTTTTAATTTTGAAGAAATAATCCCATCCCAAAGGACTGATAAGTCTTAAAAATTCAAGGCAGGATTTTCAAAGCCAGCTTGAAGATTTGGGTGTCCTGTTTAATTTTAATAGGAAATGAGTGTACAAATTTTTTAAGCAGTTATGACAATTTTGATCATAACATTGAGAAAGTATTTTGATGTTTCAGTCGAGAAATGTTAAACGGTCTCCAAGAAATGTTACTAGCACGTTGCCATCACTACCAGAGGCAGCAACTGGTATCTCAGTAACGTGTTGCTCTTTGTTCTGCTACAGCACCATCGATGCCGGAGTACGACACGGACTCGCCCTTGAATGAGACAGACACCACCATCACTGTCATGCTGAAGCCTGCTCAGTCCCGGGGAGCCCCTGTCAGGTGGGTGGTTCCTCTTCCTTTTTTTTTTTTATTTGCAGCATTTTCCTCTCCTTCTTCCCCAGGTTTCACTCATCTTTTATTCTCATCTGATAACAGAGCTGTTGAAAGTGAATGCTGGATACATGGCCAACTTGGCTGTTGATTCTGCCTTTCACGTTTCCTCTTATAAATGCATCCCGCTGCTCACCTCCAGGAATGGTTGCTGATGGCATTGCATGGAGTTACTGCCCTTTCAGCATCGCCTCAGGAGCCTCAGCAATACTGGAGTTTCAGTTTATAAAGCTATGTGCTGTGATGTGAGCTCAGCAAGCGTGAACAAGGCTGCAGGCCTCCATCTCCTGCCCTTGTTTCTATGAGGGACAAGCCTTTGTTGTAACTATATGGTAGGAATGCCTGAACTAATGCTGGCAGATCATTTGTTCCAAACCTGGATCCAGCCAGGCTCCTCACATCTCAGTGTTAAAAGCCAGCTGCTGCTCCCAGCTTGTTGCAGAGACAGGAGGTGATGGAGGCTGGCAGAGTCCCTCTGGTTTAGTGGGATGCCACCAGCTGTAGGTGGGCAGTTTCCATTTCCAGAATGGAGGACTTAGGGGCAGGAAGCTATACAGATGGAACTTGTGGAACGGGATGATGGCTTTGTAGAAAACATCTGTGACTAATTTTGTGACTAATCCTGGGCTGGATCCCATTCTTACCAGCTCTCCAGGGCTGAAATGGGGCACCTAGCTGCAGATCTCTCTCTGGCTGCTGAAACATGACTTAGAGGCCTGTACTCCACTGCTGTCTTTTGCTTTGGAAAACATGTGTTGAAAGGCATCAGCACAAGAGAACGAGCTGCCTCTCAGAGACAGCACTGCCTTACCTGAAGCTAGCAGGAATGCCAGGCACTCCTCCATCCTCCGTTCTCTTCAGCTGAGCATGTGAATTAAAGTGCTTATGATAAAATTAGCTGTAGTTTACCTAGGAGGATCTGGGCTGCTCTGTAAAATACCCAGCAGCCATTACCTTCCTGTAAGCTCTTTAGGATTTCCCTTGAGTTTTCACAAGACACTTCTTTTTTCCCTCTGAGTGGTATTTTAAAAACAAATAATTGCTTCTCTCAGAAGTGAATGGGCTTTGTACATCCCACGGATGAGTTCCTAGTGCTTTTTGAAGGCGTCTCACTAAGTGTTCAGGAACAGATTACTCACGTGTAAACTTGTTTAATTTAATGAAGTATCCTATCTCAATTAGTGCTCCATCTATGTCACAGCTTTTTCCCAAGTTGCACTATTAGTTTAAAGCAAACTATCTATTTTTGCTGAGCACCACACCCATTCTAGTTGTTCTGAGAAGCAGGCTCCAACATTTCCCTTTTAATCTCTGGTACTCCATATGAACAAATTTAGAAGCCTATTTTCTGAGTCCTTTAGGGATATTGTTGTGCTGGAAAATGGCAGTAAAATCACAGAGCTCTGTTTTGTTTTATTTCTTTATATGGGGGAACGTTCCTGTATCTCGTTTTGCCACCTGCTGTCTTAAGAGTGTTGCTATTTCGTCTTTTTATTGAAAGTCTTGCGATTTTTCTTGAAGCCAATTTGCTATACATTAACCTCGTTCAGAGAATAGTATCTTTTTCAGCAAATGCATCTATTATAAGAAAAAAAATCTATAAAGTTTTCCTAATTTTTCAGTCTAGTTTCTTTAATTGCATTGTGGCCTATGGTGCACGTTTGCAGTGTAATATTTATGCCACATCCAAATGATGAGGTGACTTCCTTTACAGAGCCCTGTCCATTGACACAGAAAACCAGAGCAGAGGTGTATGTGTGTGACAGGGGAGGAGTCCTCCCCTAAAATATCTCAGGGGAGATATTTAGCTTTTTATTAGCTATGATAGCTGAACAATGGATGAATTCCTTTTGCTGTATAAATATAGCCTGCTCTTAGTCTAACCTCATGAAATCCAACAAATTTGACCTTGTATCAGATTTTCCCAACCAATTCCCTTTTCTTTCAGCCTGTTCTGCACGCTTACAATATCCAAAAGTAGGTAGCGCTCCCTCAGAGGCTTCAACACCATCCAGCCAATTAGAATAATAATGTGCCATGAACTGTTGGTGACACTTAACACACAAGGATGAGGTGTTTCTTTGCTTTTTCGTAGATTTTTCTCTCATATTCATGAGAGTTAATATACTCTCTTTTTCTTGTCTGATTATTTGTTTTATGCTTTAAGTTTATTTTTCCTTCACACGTATAATATCTTGTATTTGTCTCTACTTGTTGTCATCAGATTGACTTTTAAAATGCTTTTAAATCTTGATGCAAACCTTGAGTGCTTCCATCCCCTCTTAGTCTGATTGCCATTTCTCATTCACTTACCAAGGCATTAGTGAAGATACAGATTCAGATTCAGGCAACACTGGTGCTGAGTGTTGAGGCTGTGCGAGGTGGGTGGAGGGATTCCACATAATGGGAAAGATGCCCAGCATGCTAAAAGGATGTCTGTAGGATGTCTGCTCTCCTGGCCTCTCTTGTAGGCATGGCCATGCTTTCCTCGATCCATTCCCTTTTCCACCTGACCACTCAGGCTGCCTGGGGTGTTTCAGAAAGGGCTCTTGAAAATGGTCTGAAATAGATACTGCTCACAGTAGCTCATAAAGCCTCTGATCTGTCACTGTGCAGGAATAGGTAGACCTCTCATCTCTTGACAGTACTCCAGGCAGCCAGTTTCTGCTCTGTGGTGCCCCAAGTTTTCAATATAATCCTTCCAAATGTGAAAGTAAAGAAGCAACAACAACGAAAGAACACCTTCAGTACATAGCAATTATTCTTCATATTTTCTCTTAGATGATAGGGAGATGAATTGGAGTATGTGTGAGGGTGTGATTGGTAACAGTATCTCCCAAAAGATAGTTATGTGACCTGCGTTGTGTTATTTCATTCTGCTCTAGTCTGAGCAGCATACAGATGGAGTACGATTTGCAAGATCATTTTTAGAGTAATATTGTAGAATATTTCAGAAAAGATTCACTGTTGTTCCTCTCATGTGAAATACGGGTGCACTAAATCCAAAGTCACTTTCAACAGTGAGACGTTTCTGATGTTTCCTTGTGCTCACGATCAATAACTTAAATGTGGTTGTTTATAAAACTAATGGTTGTGAACTTGACATTGTTAACAAACTACAGATAAGAACCAAGATACTTTCATATGAACTAATAAAAATAATATGAACTTGGGTATACTTTTGTAGGCTTTGTCTTATTGCCAGAAGAAAGGTGGAGCATCAGCAAGGCATAAATATCCTCCCTTGTGGCCTGGGCATTTCATTATTTCCTTGTGGTGAAACCTGCAGAGTTTGACACCACGTTGCCCTTTAAAAATAACTTTTGGTGCTTCTTATATCAATTCAAAGCCCCTGAATGGTGTTGTGATTGATTGCTGAAGACTGACATTCGTCTGTAATAGATTCAGAAGGGGGAAAGAAGAATGCAAGTGTTCCCAATCTTTATTCCTCAACTCCTTCTTGAAAAAAAATCCCAGTGTGATTTTGAAGATAATTTTGCCTGTGAATCCATTATTGTCAGGAGGGCTGAGTCGGTCCTTCATAGATTATTCACATATGACATCTTTAGACCTCTATTTGAGAATTTATACCTTATTCACTGCCTGAAAATACTGCTGTGAGGGATTTTATCTCCATGACCAGTCCGCTGGGCTGTTTGCTGTGTGCTGCGTACTTGGAAGTCCATCTGGTTTATTAAGAAACCATCAGTTGTATCTACCTGTTACTATTACAGAGAACATCACATTTTCAGAGCATGTGTTAGTTTCAGGGATTTCAAAGTTGAAATAATGCTCACCTTAAGGGTGATAGTGTTGTTTGGCATGCCATTCCATCTCTTGGAGCTGCTGGGCCATTTAGAGCAGAGTCTGCAATTACACTTTCAGAGTTTGAGGTGGTGGCAGATTTCTTTGCTTAAAAAAAATAAAAAGAGAATTTAATTTTTCTGTATGGCCTTGCTGCAGTTCTGCAAAGTGTATCAGTATGCAATCTGTGATGTTCTTTTGCACGGCAGGCAGGCAGATGCATCAGGTATCTGATGGTCTTTAGGCACCTGAACTTGTGCTGGGCTAAAGAAAAGTGTTTTTAGAACATAAGTTTTCGAACTTTGCACGTGACCCTGTGCATACATACACAGGTGTGTGTAAGGAGGAGGTGTGAGTAATGGTGGATAAATTATGGAGGTCAGACTTGTTTGCGCGGTGGTTGGATATACTTAATCACTTTGCTGAGGATGGATGGGTTATCGTATTGATGCATATCTTAAAGGAAATAAGGAAATCTAAATGGGAGAAGGGGACTGGAAGTCTTTTGAATATATTTAGATGCACTGAGCAAAAGGTGAAACAAGTATTTTCATATCACCAGCCAGCCAGTAGGAGAAATTAATTTGTATGAACAAAGCCCCATGTTACTCATGAGTATTATCTGATTTTTGGTCTCCCAAGCATGAAATAACAGAAATATTTTTGGTCTGCGTGTTGCTAAATGAATCAAGAGAAAACAGTTGTGTTGTTATTCAACAGAACAGTGTTTTTTTTCTGTTTTTCTGCTCAAGCTGTTCTCCAAGCAAGCAATCCTCTATGATGTTTCTGCATGTCCATGTCTTCCTACACGTAGTAACAAACGGAAATACCCTGTAATGTTGGGGAGTGGCATTGCTTCCATCTTGTGTTGCTGTGCTGAGACTTTCACTGCTGAACACTTGCCTTCCACTTCAGAGCAACAAAGTAGAAATGCTGAGTGTCTGAATTCATAGGCTATAATGTTCATCTTCATGTCATTCTTTCTTTTCTTGTCATTTCAGCTACCGTCTATTTTTATAGAATAGAACTAAATCCCTCTGGCTGGCATCTTGATTATTATTAGTAGTATTAGTAGTAGTAGTATTTTTGGAAGCACACTAGTTCTTCACATCCATACGAAGGAATCATTTGCAAACTGAATAACC